CGGGGTATGCATGACCATGAAGTCTAGGAACTTCCCGGGCTGAAGGCCATTCTGCATTGCAAAAACGGCTAGCCCCTGGTCCAGCTGAGAGACGCTGGATGACTCGTTGTTGAAACGGGTCAGATAGTCTCGGAGGCTTTCGGTCTCCCCCTGTTGCAGACCCATGAGTTCTGCAGTAGTCTTCTCTCGGCGGTTTGCCGTGGAAAACTTGCTCCTAAATTTGGAGGACAGATCATCCCACCCTGTTATAGAGCCTTGCTTTACTCCCTTGGAGATCCATGCTTGCGCGACCCCCTTGAGAGTGGTTGGGAAATATTTGCACCAAGTCGCTTCGGATCTGGGGCAAAGATGCATATGAGCCTCATACGAGGCAATGTGGTCCTTCGGATCCGAAGTCCCATCATATGTGATGTGCGACGGTATTTTAACCGTGGGCACGTGCTCTTCCAGTATCCATTGCTCGAATGGCGAACTGGCGGGTAGCATAACGGCCTTGCCCTTGTTCCTGGCCGAAGGGACCGCGCTCCGCCCTCTTAGAGAGGTAGGAGTGGTTTTCGTCCCTGGCTGGGAAGTATGGGCCTCGGCCGCAGGGAACGAGAGGCGACTGTGCACGCTCGGTTCCTTGCCGCCGAGTCGGTCGAGGACGCTTCGGCGAACAGTCTCAGGTTGTTCTCGGTGAGCAGATTCTGGCCGAGAAGCTGAGCTGCTGCTCTTATGCGTTTCTGGTCGGGAGGTTGAGGATCCTTTGAAAAATTGAGGGTTCTTTTTCCTCTCTTTTTCAGTTTTACAGGTATCCTCTTCCCACTCTTCCAGTTCCCGGAAGGAAGGAAGCTTCCCACCATCATGGTCTAGCTTCCTCCGCTGATGCCGGGTATGTGGAGGAGTTCGATCACGAGGTGGCGGCATATTTTGTGCCCTCATTGCCTCCATGAGCACTGCCAGCGCTCTTGCCACCTCCTCCGAGCTGGGCCCCGTCAAAGGGGTCCTCGGCTGAGTATGGGAATGAGAGCGCACAGTCGATGGTTGGCTTTGGGGCACTGAATGTGTCCTATGATCGGACTGACCCCTGCTAGACCGAGAGTGACTCGGCCTATGATGAGAGTTATGAATTACGGGAGAAAGGGAATCCTCCCTGTATGATCCTCCCCCCGAGGTGGCACCCTTGGGAGAGTTCCGGTCCGGTGAGGGTGATGGTGTAGGGGTTTTAGGCTTTTCGCCTGCTCCTTGACGGAGGCTTTTGCTCTTGCGGTTCTTAGCCATTGCTACTAAGATAATTGCAAGATGATTTTGGTTAGAAACTTGGCTTAAAGATTTTTGAAAGTCTTCCCCACAGACGGCGCCAAATTGTTTCGGGTGAAAACAATGGGACCTTGTCGAAGGTCCGATGAAGTGGAGAAGACTGGATTCGGTCCAAGTGATGTTGGGCCGAAGGTTTCCTGCACAGTAAACACACGTAACTAGCCTCGGGGGTGCTGCCGAGGAAGGCCCCTCCGATGCTAAAGTCACTACAGTGTGTAGAAAGAGAGCACTATGCAAGAGAATTAATTGCTTGAGGCTTTGTTTGAATGAATGTACGAATGTAATATTGATGGCTTTTATACCTTTGCATATATGGAGAAGTTGGGCCTTAGCCCAATTGACTTGCCTTGAGGACTGATCTTTGACTTTAGCACAGTTGGAGAGTTGAACCTTGACCTTGGGCTTTTAATTGGATCATTTAATGACTAGGCCCAATTGGACTAAATTGGACCCAAACAACTAGTAAATGATGATGCAACTACGAAGAAAAAACAAAGGGTCTAGGAGCTTCATGCTAAATTTGTAGAAGCAATTAATCAGATTGGGAGTGCAAGTAAGTTCTCTAATAAACTCGTTATTTACTTGTTTATTTTACTTTCTTATTAAAAGAATAATATAATTTCAAACACAAACTCAAACCGTACGTAATTCCTAACAAATTGACAATTAAAGCAGGACAATTTAAAAACTCAAAGATGTTATATATGTATGTTGCTCATTGGTTTAATATGATATATAGAGTATGACTTGACAATATATATTTATATGTGACCTGTATCATGGATGAATTTCATTAGTGATTAGTATATAAATTAAATTAAGAAACTAATGTTGAAAAAACCATGGTGTAGATTGTATGATACATATATGCTTCCTCCGTCTTTGTTCTACTCACTTGCAACTTGTGCAGTGGCCAACATGCATGTTTGAGTGTTTGACCAACTATATCCTTAATTGCATACTAAAGTAAATTATGAAAATTAGATATTTGGACATTACACAATGAAACAATTCTAACACAATCACAAGTGATAATTTTAGATTTGTACATTTGTAGCAATGGATGGTCAAAATTTTCTATACTTTACACAATAAATAGTATGGAGTAAGTGAATAGAAAAAAAAAAAGGGAGTTAGTAGGTTTTAGGAACAAAATTTAAATATCTAATCATATAATTTATGTACAAACACACCTGAGTATCTTTAACATAACTCACATCCTTTAATTATTAATTGGGTAAAAATTAGATGTATTGTTGAATGTTGATGATATCTATATTCCATTAAGGTTTACTTCCAAAAAATAAAAAAAATAATGCGATACAATAGTGATTTTTCTGTTTAAAGAACCATGCATGTAGCTAGGTTGGTTGGACAAAGTTCAATACTTAAAAGGGTTTCTCGTCTTCTTGGTGATCAAACCATTTGTAAAAAATCTGTTATTGTTTTAATTATATATATACATGTAAATATCACACAAATCTTGCCTTTAAGAAAGCAAAAGTCTACTAATATGTAGGATATAATCAAAGCTTCATAAGGATGGTTACAACCGTAAAACTTTAATCAATTAATAGGTTAACCTCCACTTATATGAATATGAAACATAATTTAGATACGTGAGTATACTTTTGAAGTTTTTATAATGAAATCATATCCGTTTGTGTGTTTAACTATACTAGTAATAACATAAAAATATATAAAAGAATAGATAATACAATTTCATTTCAATTGCATGACCACCCCCACTACTTTTACCGATAATATTTGCAAAAACATGAATTGATATCGACTTTATTCAAAGAATTAGTGATGTGAAATTTGTTTATTGAAAAAAAAAATTTCTTAATGGGTTGGTGTATATTTGAAGTACTACTGGTATTATTCTATTCGATTCAATCCAACAGTCCAATTAGAGGTTTTTTTATTTGTTTGTCTTTGTATTATTTTTGCAATGTGGTTTGTTTATCTCCGGTTAGAGTTTTCATTTGTTTCGTTGATTTGCTTGTGTCTCAAATTGCTATTATGAGCAACAACACATTTTATAAAAAATAAATGTGTGCTAAATCTTCCAAAAAAAATTAAAAATCTCCGCTAAAAAAGTTTGACTATAATTATGCATTAATTATTATAGTAATTTTTTAATTATAATTTTTATTATACTAATTAATTATAATAATAATTATTCAATTTAATTTAGTTTAGTTCGTTTCAGTTTTGTTTTGATCCTTTCAGCTCAGTTCAGTTTAATTCAATAGGGTTATATTGTATGATCCAAAAAAAAAAGGGGGTTACCGTTGGTATGTATAGTAGCAGAAGTTGGGGGTTACCATTGAGAATATCCCAAAATAATATGTTTAACAAACATAGGAGTATTTTAAACATTTTTACTACTTTATTAAAATTAACTGAACAAAAGTAGAATATTTAATTTTCACTCCAACGTTCATGTGTTAAAGCAAACATTTGAAATATGTGTTACATTATACATTGTAATATATTACAAATTTTAGTGTCTATATTACGGAGTATATTCAAACTTCAGGGCTAAAGAGTGAGATTGTCAACAAAATAAGAATTGTTATTAATTGGCAAATAGTTGGATATTTTACCATAATTTGTAAAATTGAAAATTTTATTAAACATTTATTTATTTAAAAATGAAAATAAATAATGTTTCTAATTTTTAACATGTTATTAGAAATCTTTTATCATTTTCCACTATTGTTATATTATTGTTTTTATTGCAAATAAGAAAACAATTAATTATTTTTTATCATTTTTTTTTTTTTGAAGAATAATATGCTTCTTTTCCTTATTGCTGTTCCTTTAATTTGTAATATAAATAAATAAAAAAAAAAAAAGTAGTAGTATTATTATACTATAATTCTGGAACACATTCATGTTTACTGATCTATATTATTTCTTTTAAAAATTATAACAGAATGCAGAGGTAGTTCCAAAAAAGATTTTGGAAATAATGAATGTTCCTGGCTTAACTAGAGAAATTGTTGCTAGCCAGCTACAGGTATTAGTACTACAATTTGAGAGATTTAAATTATATTTCATTTGTGATGCATCACAATTTTATACAAGTATAATGGTTTGATGCAGAAATATCGTCTTTATGATAAGAGATATGAACAAATTTCCCAACATCAAAATGAAGGCAAGACTTTTATATCTCCTATAGATGTGCATAATTTTCGAGCACAAGTTCTTCTAAACTCGTCATCTTTTCAAGTACGAGATTTCACAAGTTTGAATTCACATCCTCAAAACTTGAGACTTCATCATCATGTTGAAAATGGTGGTAATGTTATATATCATCCTGTTGTTTCATATGCTTATTGTTCAACAAAAGTTCATGCATATTCACTGAAAAACAATGTTAAAAGTGAGGAGGGTTTGGATACTTGTAACTCTGGGGAGACTACATCAATCGAGGAGCAAGCGAATAATACATATGAGAGTTATGTACATGATTTATGTTACAATGATACCACATTCAATTTTGATTGAAATGGTACAAAATAGAAGGAAGTTTTGAACATATTAATTTTTTAGGTAATCTTAATTACTATAAAGCATTGTACAAAGAATAAGTTAATTATTTATTAGGGTTCACAATTGATGATAATTGTGAGCTAATTAATCATTAGTGTTTTGAAACTATTTGTATTGGTTGATTACTACTACTTTTCAAATTATAACATATTAATATTAATATGATACATCCAAATCAATCGATTTTTCAGTCATATACATGAATGTTGCCCTCAACATTATATTATGACTTCCATTCATTCTCCCATCATACACAGTACATGATAATCATGATTAAATTAAAATAAATTATTCTTAAAATAAACTTAAGTCTCATTTGTAGAAATAAAATCTCACCATTAATGTAACATAAACATTAGAACCAAGGTTATAAGCATGCTATACATGCCATTAGTAGAACTAACCATGGAAGCCGAGTTAATTGGTAATATTGTAGGAAGAGAACACTCCTCACCATTGAAGATGACTTTAGTCGGAAAACCATCACCGCGAGCCACATTAATCCCCGGTGTTTTCTTCTTATCAAACAAAATCACTGATTGCAAAGTACCCGGACGCTTAGGATCTTTGTTTGGATTGGATCCATTTACTTGCCCTAGAAGATAATCATTTCCACTTGGAAAACCATGCATGAAAATTGTGCTACTATCTCCCGGCAAAGAACTTCCATTAAAGGAATAAACCCTTTCTAGCCCACCTCCGGCCTTGTCAAGCTCCGCGGCCACAAACCAATCGGAGAAATTGGTATCACCCCAATTGAAAAGTGTAACCCTAGAAGTCCACCCTTTTCGATAATCCGATGACAAATGCCAATTAATGGTGACTCCACAATTATCACCACAAGGTAATAAATTGTTGGATATGGGTATATGGTTTAGTCTTGCATACTCGGTGGTTATTTTAGTTCGATTTTCAAATGGAATCAAAAGGGCGTAAGATGGTAAGGCAATTGCATCCGCGGTGTCATTGCAAGCTTGTTCTTGTCTCGGATTAGGGCAACCACATGCACATGTTTTGCAAGGGATAACGGAATCATAGAAAAAAGAGGAGAATGACACACAACACTTTGGGGGTCTTGTGCTACTTCGTGTCTTATTGCACACCACTTGCCAACTAGCAATTGCTTCCACTTGTACCGGGAGGCCATTAGGGCTAGGTAGGAGGCTAGGGCTCACTCGAATTGGATTCCCACATTGATAGTCTTGATTAAATGTTCCGTTGATCTTCCAATTTTGTGGCGGGTTAAAAATGGTCACGTTAAGGTCAGGTGGCATCTTGTACACTTGCATTTGAAAGGCGGAAATAGACATGCTTGGATCCATGGTTGAAGGCAAAATTGTACCATTTCGACAACAATAAGGGATTGATCCTAGGGTTTGATCATTTGCCAAAGTCGGCGGTAGATCTATGATCGTTTGCTTATGCTCACAACTTAAGGCCCTCGAAAGGTCAAGACTTTGGTAGAATTTAGCTTGGTCACCAAAGATGCATTTTGAGGAGTCTATTTTGTAAGGTGTAGCGCCTCTCATAGAATAAATGAACTCTTTTCTCATCCATTCCCAACTTAATTGCCAATTGTCTAGGCGCCCTGTTTGATTTTGGTTTGAAATAGTCACCTGCGCCCAATAGTTCGATTCATATGCTGATATAACATCGTACATTATGCTCAAATCTCCACTTTGTCGAGGTAGGAATTGCTCTGTTGCATTTATGGTTGATTTAGCATTAGGATCTCGTATGCAACATGTAGACATACTAGTGTTCCCTGCATATATAAATGACCATGAAAAAAAACGTAATAGAGGATTATAATTGTCTTCCAAAAACATTTCTAAGCAATATGCAATGGCTTATATATTAGTACTCCGTAGCACATATATAGCTGCATTCATGGCAAGATTTATTATGTATACAATAATGAAAAGTATATTGTATACAACAAACTTAGTCATAGAAAGTCAACTTTGCAAATAGCTAATTATTCTATATTTAATCAAGGGTGATTAACACTCTTAGTATATACTCCGTAGTTAAACAATACACTGTACAACCGGTTGTATTTTTACATGGTATAACTAAAGCTATTTCCTCTACTATGACTTTTACCTTGTTGACACATTGTTGTATATATTCGACCAAGACCTATTGATCTTACTTTGATTTTATTTATATTGTACTGCGTAAATTAGTTTATTTAAAATCACAAATGTTATTATAAGTATTAAGTTACAAATGACCAGATCAAACACGACATAATGGCAACTTGGCAAGAAATCAAATAGATTTATTAAGATTTCTAGAGCTATAGTGATGTAGGAAAGTGGAACGATTATGAATTAGTTATAAGTTTAACTAATGTAATTGACTTCTAATTTGTTAAAATATATCGAGTATAAAAATTAAATTAAATCTCCACCAAAACTAATAACTCAACCGACTATTTTAATAGAACATATATCGAATTTGAAAATTTAAGCTATGATTATGGTTTCATACCTTGCATAGTAGGACTAGCACATATAAAACCATCATTAGCAAGGCTAATATTTGAAGGCATAGGAAAATCTTCCGGTGAAACACCAAACTCAGTACCAACCAACTCAATTCGAACACTCATCTGAGCTAAATCCCCGGCAGTCTCTACCGCGGTCTTTAAGTCCGTCGTAGGGTAGCCAGTAAAAACGGTGTCATTCGAAACATTAGCAGGTAAAGGTGAGCCATCAAGAAGCACAGCATTAGAGGCAGACACTAAAAGTTCACCGTGTCGAAACCCTACAAAAGCTTTCCATGACTTCAACTCTTGTAAGCCATTGTTTTGGATATAAAGCGTTGATTGGAACTTATATGGTTGGTCTGTTGGGTCCGAGGCCGTGATGTTCGGGGGGAGTTGCTCGCCCCGGGTGTACGTGTACTGTAAAAATATGCCATTACACAAGGAAGAAATGTTTTGAGTTTGGGAAATAATTGATGTAGGGAGAAAGAAAAGACAATATAGTATGGTAAAGAAAATAAATGTTAATAGTTTTTCCATGTTTAATTAGTTTGAATGGAAGAGAGTTAATTAAGGAGATTTAGTATAATAGAATGAAGCTGTATTTGCTTGTAAGAAAGAAATTAGGAGTGTTACATATGCATGAAAAAGATATATTGATATATATGAAATGGTGATAAATGGGAACTTGATGAGAATTGGTCCGTCGTACGTGTTGATTAGGTCTTACGGTTATAATAGTTACACTGTCTAATGCATGCATTACGTACTAGTAGAATAGAAATAAGGTTTAGTGGGCAAGTTTTTATAATGCATTATTGCTTGTAATGGACTTTATCAAATATTCAATGGTAACTAGCTAGCGTGAAAATTCTATAATGTCAATCCTCAAAAAAGGCACCACAATATATTGACATGGCGAAATTTGATTGGCCTGTATTTAGTATTTTGATTTCATTCTGAATTATTTTTAATGTCCATGATGTATTACAATTGTATTTATATTATGTTTCCTTTTTAATACATTTTTTTTTAGAAATGCATAATTATAAATTATGAAAATCTATTTTTATAATACTAATTAATTTTCAAAATTATACTAATAATAAAAAATCACAAAATTAAAATTATTCATCTATGTTCCTCAATGTTCTTTATTCATGTCATAGATTAGCCACCCATTCCCAAAGTAATTGTTAATTGCTAATGTATTATCAAATCCGGCCTAAAATCCCAATAAAAATTCGTAAATGAATTTTGTTTTTGTCATTCTTTCGTATGTTATTCACCCTATGGTTCGAAATCTGATTTATGTGTGTGGGAATCATTTTTTTTTAATTCTTTGTTGTTAGTTGTGATTTCGAAAACAGCATTGTTGGTAACGTATATTATGGTTATCTAAAACTCAGATTGTACAATTTTGTCAAAGAACAAGGGGTATAGAGGTTGTAGAAGATGAAGAGGTCGCAGTTATTCTTTGTTTGCAATCCCTGTTTGGTCCGTAAAAGTGTAAGATAATATATAGTCATCAAATCATGTTATCGGAATCTGATACATTTGTCTCATTGTATATTTTCAAAATACGTATTCTAATTTTGATGATTAATAACCAAGATAATAATTAGATTAACAGCCTTTTTTTGGTGCGTCAGGCCACACCATGTGGCAAGCTGACACACACCAAACACTAATCGAGTAACTCCTGACCGGTTGAGTAATCCCCGACAAAGTAACCCCCGGACACACTGTATGACCAACCACATATAAAAATTTGTGAATATTAATTAATGGTTCAAATTATGCACTTAGAAAAAACAAAAATTTCATATTAATAATCCCAACTTTGTCCAATATACCTTGAATAGTCCCAACTTTCATATGCGTTTTCTTTCTTTAGTCCCGAAAACCGGCAACCTGCTGAAAGGTTTAATATTTTTAAATCTTTCTTATATGCCACATGTCGCACGTTTATTGGTCCAAAAAATCAAAATAATAAAAAAAAGGTCAAACACCTCCTCCCATTTTCTTTTTAACTCCAAATCATTCAACTTCCATCCCTTTTTCCCATATGGGTAACCTATAACTTGCAACTTCTACTTGCAAACTTATCTTTATCACAACGTTGATTATGAGCATAACAAGTGAGGGTAGGGGTATTTTTATATTGTAAGAAAACATAACAAGTGGGGGTAGGGCCCGTACGTAGGGGTAGTGAGGGAGAAAATGTTTTTTTATTAGTGGTCCAACTTTGTATTTAGCAACGTGTCAATTATTCTGGAACGAATGAAGATGAAAACTGTGTTAAGTAATAAAATATATTTTTACACTATTTGAGAATGGTTTTTTTAGCACGATTCGAAATTTAACTCCGAACCCAACCTGTTGACTCAAAATCTCAATTTGACAAATCTATTTGAACTCGATTCCATTACGGAGTAGCAAAATAAGCCATTATCTAATGAGAAAGAAAAAGGATAGGGTTACGTACCTTCAAAGTTCAAACTGCTTCAAGTAAAAATGTGCTCCTAGTAGTTATTTTCCCCGCTCCGAAGAAAGAAAGTAAAAAATTGCGAAAATGAATTCAACAACAATGGTGGCTGAAGCACTATGGAAGAATATCGAGTCCAACCATTCAGGTTCTACTATAAACAAACCCCCTTTTTTATCAATCGTAAATTCATTAATCTACATTACCCCAATTTCACTTCAATTTGTTCTTGTCATCTTTGATTTCTTGAACAATGGAATCGACAAATTTTAACAATGGAAAAAATTGATGTAAAATAGTGACCGATGATCAACTGGGAGTGTAAGTTTCTTCCTCAATCTTCGTAATTTGATACTAGTATTACATTTTTTATTTATCCTTTAATTTTTTAAATTTCGTAATCTGGGTAATCTTAATTTGTGCTTACAATTAAAACCCAGGTTGCATTTTTTGTTCGGGAAGAATTTTGAGCGAGCTACAAGGATTGTGGATCAACAAGGTGTTAAAAGAATTTCTGGTGAACCCAGTGGTCGCTCTATATTTCAGGTCCGTCGATTAATTTCACCTCGCGGTTTGAAATTAATAGTCACATTGATAGTGTAATTTGAACTAATAATGTGATAACTAGGAGGTGAGGGTTGCAAATTTTGATGCAGTAATTTTACAAGTTGAGTTCAATTCCATTATTATAATGGGGTTGTATGATTGATATGATTATAATGTTTAATTTTATCTAGATGTGATCAAATAATGTCCCTGGATTGTTTTAGGATGATATGAAGTTTTTGGTAGATTTAAATCAATAATTGTGGAATTTGATTGAAAATAAGGGTCTCATATCAGTCATATATGTTGATTAGGTTGTTGGAGAATCTCGGAAGAAGGAAGAATATTTATGTTTCGCCGAGCATTATTGTGGATGCTACTCATTTTTCTATGATATAGTGAATCGAGGGGAACAGCTTTGTGTAAGTTGAACCTCTATGGTTATGTTAAAGTTGTGCTATTATGAACTATATAAATGGTTTTAGGAATAACAAAGTTCTTGGTTTATTTTAGTGTAAGCACCAGTTGGCTGCGAGACTAGCTGCATCTTTAGGAGCGTGTATAGAAGGCAAGGTATCTGATGAAGAGCTTGCAATGCTGCTATCAAAGCTGTGACAGTAGTTGTATACTTGGAGATGGAAGCAGGTATTTGGATTTTAGTTTTCCCCGGGTCATTCCTATCTGATCAAATTTATGCTATGTTTGAGCATCACTTCTAGTCCTCTACTGTTATGGTATAATGGTAATGTTGTTTGCCAATCTTTTGTGTTTGTGCAGGTGATTTCTTTTCTGTTACATCTAGGCTATCAGCAATTGGAAAAGTTTGTAATCAACTTAGAAAAGCATGACGTGCAGTTAGCAATGATAAATTACATTGTACTAACTCATTTTAGCTGTTACTGACTTGTGTAATATAATACCAAAACGTGAAATTTATGTGTGCTTCCATAGGTTTTATATTGCCACCAGCAGTTTTTTTTACCAATTCCTCCTGACAGTTCAATCCCACTTCAATAGGTCATTATTTGCTCCCCTGGGCAGCACTTTAGGTAGTTAATTTTTTTTTTTTTTTTTTTTTTTTATTTTCCAGTTGTGAGTTCTAGAGAGTAGAGGAGGCAATCAGAACTAGTGGGACTCCTGCACGGTATATCTGCAACACTGGTGCAGTGGCATAGCCTTATCAACTTCGGGCAAACAACCCTGTGGTTGATTAGTCTTTGATAGCACTTTACTGCACTTTACTGCAACTGTAAACAACCCCATATATGTGTGCTACCGATATTGAACCCCTGTGGCACTTTACTGCTAGCATGCTGAATTGATTAGTCTTCAGGGGTTCATTACATCGAATTTTGAGTTTTGGAGAATTAATTAATATCAACTTCGCTCATATAGGGGATTGTTTGCCCGCAAATTTCCGGGTAACGCCCGTAAAATTAAACTTAAAAGTACAAACTTACCCCTCATATAAAAACCGGTCCTCATTCACACCTATTTACCGCCCTTCATTCAAAACACTACACCACCACCATTACTAACCTCTTCTCTCAAAACACCACAATTACTAATCTCTTAGATCTAGGTTTTCACCACAAGCCACCACCAACCACTAAAGGACTTAGATCTACCAGATCACCGGAGCAAGATGCCAAGAAACGACAAAGGGAAAGGCGTCTTGGAGCTGAGGCTGGCAGATGAAAGATTTTTTTTTTTTTTTTTTTCGTTTAAAAGGCAGAAACGCATGGGATTTCATATCTCCTTGAAAGAAATTGAGATTGTTTGAATCAACAACTACTATGGATGACAATTTCTCTTCATGTGGCTTGATTCGTTGCTTATTATTTGAATCCAAATACTGACATACGGTACTCGGTGTCTCTGTTGTCTAGTACAAGAGTTGATTGAGTTAGCATAGGCTTAAATTAATTTGGAAGTAAGAGCATCTACAATGATTGTATAAAAGGACATGTTTGCAATTTTTAAATAATTAGAGCTATATGCTGGCCATTTGTGGAGCTACATAGGTTGTAGCTAAGGCCAAATTAGTTCACACCATCCAATGCACATATATTGATCTGTTTAATACTTTTATGTATTTTTTTTTTTTTTATTTATTTTATGGTTTATTTATTACAAATGGAAGTAGCTTGCTATTTTAAAGGTTATAGCTTAAATCACGTACCTTGGGGAATAATGATGTGACAACCCAAAACTACATGTATATATAGCTAGCCATTGTGGACAGTGGTATAAAATAAGTCTTAGCTTGCAATTATTTAATAGTTGTAACTACTAACCTACTAGCTTGCCAATGTGGAGCTACATTAGATGTTGCTTTGTTGAAACAGAGCTATGTACTTTAACAATACCCAAAGCATGTGTTGTCCAATAAAAGGAATAAATTGTATGTGATTATTTTTTTGGCATTAATTTCCTCTTTTTAAAAAAATCTTAGCTTGCTATTGTGAAGGTTGTAGCTTGAATTGATGTAGTTTGGGAATAATGATGTAGCAAGTCAAAACTAAAAGGGGTGTAGCTAACCATTGTTGATGCTCTAATACTTATGCTGTCAGATGATTTCTTCGATAGTCATGAATCTCATGATCTAAAGGCATGATTTCTCAGCCAATTCAATAGACAATTCGCTTGTGGCGAGTTTGCCCGAGTTGGCATGATCTAAAGGGAAAGATGCATGCTAGCTTCTTATAGTAATCGATGAAGTGTGTCGGTGTGTGTAATTTAGTATGGAAAGCAACCTTTAATTTCATAACTTAACGCTACTGATGTCGGAATCAAAAGTATACTTGTATTGTATACGTATGTAGTACAATTATACCATTTACATTACCATTCCATTATCAAGTGTACAATTTCACAACTCAATGGAATCAATAACAATAATATTTATGCAGAAGCCATGGTTTTTTTTTTATTATTATTTTATTTTATTTTTTTTGACAGGATGCAGAAGCCATGTTGTGTATGTACAAATGTTAACAATTATTCTCTTGTACTAACTTGTACGGATGATACCTTAGAAGTGTACACAGATAACAATTAAATGTTAGTATAGTAAAAATAATCTAAAACGAAAAAGGTATTGTGGAATGTGGAGGAATAATAGATGGGCTAATACGCAATTTTTAAGTCACAAGTTGCAAATGCGTGGATTAGTAGATGCTCATACTACTTGGAACTTTGAAAAGTTCCCTTGGTCTCCAAGAAAACACTTGGACGTAGAGCAAACACTCTTTGACTTGGTTTGCGAGTCCAAAAATAAAAACCACCTTTTTACTTGCGCCTCAAGTGAAGAGAGGGGGTGAGACACAAATCACACAATCCTTAGACCGCATTAACTTGGGGAACACGTATTTCTTTTAAGTAAATACTTCATTTGTTCTTTTTTACTTGACCTATTTCTTTTATCACGTTTGTCAATGTAAAATTTTAACGATCAATAACTTTAATTGTTTTTAAGTCAAAATTATAAAAGTTATATATTATGATAGTATTCATTGAGATGAAATTAAAAACACTCCAAATGAATATGTTTTTCCTTACATATTAATCGCAAAAGACGGTCAAAGGAAAGGTGATAAATAATATAAAAGTCAAAGCGGGCCAAGTAAAAAAGAATTGAGGAAGTAAAAAACCAAAAAGTGTAATCTGTAACTATAAGTAGCAAAATTTTACTCACTCTATAACCTATCTCTTAACCTATATTTACTTTAGTAAATTAGAGTTTATTAAGATAAGTGTAAATTCAGGTTAATAGAACACACCTAAAATCATATAAAAATTTTAAAAAATATTCTACAGTAAATATTTGTAGTTTACAAATGGTCACATAAAATGGAAACATATTTTTTTAGGGAACTTAATTAATTTTATTTTATTTTATCTTTCTTGCTAATATTTAATTTTGTAACAAATCACTCTTACATCAGCATATTTTTTGTGCGATAAATTACATTGTATGTCCGCCAGCAAAAAACGAAGTAACCTCTAACACTAACATAGTAACCCTTATTATACTAACAGATTGATCGCTACAATACTAACATAGTAGCTTTATTATACTAACAAATTAACCCCTACAACACTAAGAACAACTCCAATGGTTGGAAAAAGGGACTAGTTTGCAAATTTTTAAAATCTTAAGCTAGTAGCTATACCATTGTTGCACATCTTGTTGATTAGATTTGGCAAGCAAATTAGCTTTGTAGAGCTAATTAGCTTGGTAAATATTTATTAGATAAAAATAATTATTAATTTAAAAATAAATTAATTTAGGAAAAATGAAAAAGAATAATCCCACCTTTACTCTGTCTTCTGAAAACAATCCCACCTTTGATTCTAGAAATAATCTCACTTTTGACATAGATCTTTTAACGATCTTGACCTACAACTTCTTAAACATGTTTTTTTTTTTTTTTAAATCTCTCACCTTCAACCTCCTCACCCCCTTCCATGGCTACCACCATAGCCCACCACCCCCAAAAACCCCTTACCACCTGAACAAACTCGGTGTTCGTTCATCTTTTATAGTTGTGTTCTTGGGAAAGGGTGGGGGTTGCCGGGGATTGGGTTGGAGGGATTTTAATTTTTTTTTGACAAAGGATTTTTATTTTAATTTCTTTTAAATTTATTAAATAAAAAATAAAATACACTTATGAAAAGTCGACACATGGCTAACAACCTAAGAAAACCAGTTACAAACCGGTCAAGGATCGTTAAAAGAAGATCCATGTCAAAGGTGGGATTATTTCTGGAATAATTAAAGGTGGAATTGTTCTCGGAAGATCAAGCAAAGGTGGGGTTATTCTTTTCCATTTTTTCATTAATTTATAACTAGCTTAACCATTAGAGTAACAAATAGCTAGAATTGTTGTAGCTTAAAAAGATGATGTGGCATGACAAACTGTTAAATGAATTAGCCAACCATTATAGTTGCTCTAGTAACCCTTGTAACCATGTCAGTAACTCCTGTAACCATAACAGAGTAATCCCATAATGGATGGCCATACGGTATAACTAGCCATATATAAATTTTTATGACAATATTTGTTTATCACAAATTCTTATATGTGATTGGCCACACAGGGATTACTTCGTCGGTGTTACTGAGGTTACTCGGTCAATGTTACAAGGGTTAGTTTGTTTCTACGTATTTTACATGTGGTCACATGGTGTGGCCATCCGCACATATAACGCGCTGCAAATATTGTAATAACCAACGATTAATATCATTAATTTTATCATATAAATGTAAAAATATTTTCCTATACCTACCTTCTTACAAGTATGAGATAACTCTTATAAATACTTTTTGGATAATTATATCTTTTAAAATGTTTATTTATTTATTTGCCCTTATTAATGTTAATTGTCTTTTTTTAAAACTCTTAAGAATAGTGTACGAAATATTTATACCCCTAAAAACATGTTCATACATTTACCCTCATTAATGTTGTCAACAACGAAATTTATGACATACAGTCAAATCAAAAGAAGCTTCCAAACACGGATAAATATAGCGCATATCAAGCGCGTTAACCACCCTAGAAATTTAAAAAAGTACAACACACCTAGGTAGACCACAATCAATCAAGTAAGTAGTACCCTAATTATATTTTATATTTTAGTTGGAAAAAATAGAAGGAAAAAAAAAAAAAAAAAAAGGCGAAAAGGCGGCATTTATAAAGCGGCTACAAACTCTACCAATTTAACCCTTCCATAAACATTTGGCATTCAACTCCTGCAAATTTCCCCGATTTCACCTTTCTCCGCCGCGCGCCGCCCCATCTCTCTCTCTTCCCACACCGTCTCCTCTGTTTCTCCTTCGCCTTCTTCTCTTTGTAAGATTTTTTAAACTTCTTTCTATTTTTTCCATTCTAGGGTTTTGTTATTTAATTAAATTTATTATCTTTTTTATTTTTTGTTAATTTTCTGCAGCTGTTTTTGCCTTTGCGCTTTCTTGTGTTTATTCCAATCGTCTAATCATGGCTACCAGTAAGCAATTCTTTCTCTCTGATTTTAATCAATTTTTGTTCTTGTGTTTTTGTATTTTTTTCGATTTTATTTATTTATTTATATGAGTTTGATTGATAAATTTTTAATTTCTTTCTACATTAAATAACAATGAATATTTATAGTTGTGTTTTCAATAATTTGTTTGGTTTACACAGTAATATTACTCTTTTTCATGACCTGGGATTTTTTTTTTTTTTGGGTTGTATTTGCTAATGTTATTCAATTAATGTATATAGTGTTGTTATCTCTCTATTGTAAATTGCATTACTGTATGGGTTTTATGTCAATTTTTTCAAGCATTGGAAGAATTTGAGTGTCAATTTTTGTTTGCTTCAATGTGTTTATGATGGATATTTTGTAGGGCTTCAATTTGAGAACAATTGTGAAGTGGGTGTGTTCTCTAAGTTGACTAATGCATATTGTTTGGTCGCAATCGGCGGGTCTGAGAACTTTTACAGGTTTGCTTGCTTAAGCTGCTGAGATTATTAGTGGTTTAGTGTTCCTTTGGTTTGGGTTATTTTGTGATAAGGCTAATTTTTGATAGTCACACTGTGAATTGTTGTGTGTTTGCAGTACATTTGAATCCGAGTTGGCGGATTATATTCCCGTTGTAAAGACCTCTATTGGTGGGACTAGGATTATTGGCCGAATGTGTGCGGGTAAGGATTACTGTTTTTTGCTGTATTCTCTTGTCTTCTATGAATGGAGCTGTTATTGGTTGATGTAGATGTTATTTATGCTTTCTTCGTTTCATGGCAGGAAACAAAAACGGGCTTCTTGTGCCTCACTCGACTACTGACCAGGGTGAGTGTGATTAATCGATAAGATGTGTCTATCTGTGCTTTGATTCTTCTTCAATGCTTTTATCTATGTTTGGATTTCCAGCTAGTTGCCATCATCAAATAGCTAACTTGTGATCTTCATCAGTACCATGTCTTTCTTCGGCTAAAATCTAGGTTTTATTTGTTTATGCCGTAATGTTCTTTTCCAAATTATCTGAACATTAAGCTGATTATCCAGGTATACTACATTTTAAAGGAGGAAAGACTTACTGATGTCATAACCTCTTAATCTACAGGATATGAAACAACTCTTTCAGAAAGATAATATCTTTTCCATGTTTTTTGTGCTTGTGTCGATTACTAATGTACATATATGTAGCAATAATAAGCCTGGCTGTTATTTAATACTGTGAGGCTTGATGAGTTTTTAAGGTTCTGTTGTGCCTTTTAGTCCCAATCTTGTTGGAAGTAACTTGTAGCAGTAGGAGAGAATTGCAAAATTAGAGATAAGAGAAAAATTGTGGGGTGGGGGGGGTGGGGGTGGGAAAGGTTTCTTTATGAGGTTTAAGGTTGATGGTTGAAGAAGCAGTTTTTTTCTTTTGAGGAATTCCTATATTCAGCACTTGTCTCTGATCAGTATCACCTAGTGTACACCAGGTTAAATTCACCCCATTATAGTCGAAACTCCCTTCCAATTTTCTGGGTTTGTTCTTCTGTACAAGTACCATACATACTTCAATAGTATCATGTAGTTTTTATATCCTTCCAATGGATGTGGTACTCTTATGTTGCCTAAATTTAAATTTGATTTGTTTGCTTGTTATGTTATACTAGTAGTATTTGGCTTTAGGGTTGTGGATGTTTGGAGGGTTCTGCTGCACATAGGACTGTAGATTTTGATGTGAGAAGGCATCACTGAAACAAATAGCTGTGACAATTAGATACTTAATTCGGTTATTAAGGAAAGAACTGTTTGTGGTTTGACACTTGTAGACTTTTAGTCTGGCATGGATGTTTATAAGACACTTATTTATTGAGAAGATACAAATTCTATAATTTTTGTATGCTGGTTTTTTCATGATTCACCGTGACTCAGGTCCTGTTATCCATATGCTTTGCTTGCTGGCTGAGTTGTGTTTACATATGCTACACAATTTTTTGTTTTTTAATTTTCCCTATGTTTTCCTTTGAATTTGTTTTTTTTTTTTTTGGGAACTGAAACTAAGTATTGATAGTATGCTTCGTTTTTATGTCATCAAGAACTCCAGCACTTAAGGAACAGTCTTCCTGATTCAGTAGTTGTTCAACGCATTGAAGAAAAGCTATCTGCTCTAGGAAATTGCATAGCATGCAATGATTATGTTGCTCTCACCCACACTGATCTTGATAAGGTGTGTATTTCTTTTGGAATTTCATATTTGCTTGAGCCTTTTTTTCATTACTTCGCTGAATTTTTCTCTGATTATGCCTTTTGATTTATGTTATCAGGAAACCGAGGAGATAATTGCAGATGTTCTTGGTGTCGAGGTTTTCAGGCAAACAATTGCTGGAAACATTCTTGTGGGAAGTTATTGTGCTTTCTCTAACAAAGGTGGTTTGGTATGTACCTTCGACTCTTGACAGTTAAAAATTTTTGTTCACACAAATTAAATCTTTTATGACGCGACCATTTATTTATATCACAGGTCCATCCTCACACCTCAATTCAAGATTTGGATGAGCTATCTACACTACTTCAGGTTCCCCTGGTGGCTGGAACAGTTAACCGAGGAAGCGAAGTAATTGCTGCTGGTTTGACGGTGAATGACTGGACAGCATTCTGTGGTTCCGACACAACTGCTACAGAACTTTCAGTGATTGAGAGTGTTTTCAAATTGAGGGAAGCCCAACCTAGTGCCATTGTCGATGAGATGAGGAAGTCTCTAATCGACAGCTATGTCTGAATTCTGCCCATGTTACTGGTGACTTAAACACCATATTGTGTCCTCAAAGTTATCTTAAAATTATCAGATGTCGAACTCTATAGGCAGTCTTGCTCCAAATTTTTGGAATTCTGGCTGCGATGGAATGAACTATTGAACCGGAAAGGTGTATTTGTAGATACTTTGTGCAATCTGCAAAATCATGAAAAGGCTCAAATGTGATTTTATAATAGTTTGAATAGAATATTTAGTTATGTTATTCATGTTTGGCAAGCAAAACTTTTTTTTCCAACAGTGAAGTACGTAGAATTTCTAGTGTACACGTCTGCCTAATTTATGCTACAAATATGGCCCAAAGTTCTGACCTCATGGTATTGAAGATAAATTTGCTCCAAAGTTCCAAAATCCCAACTTTCAATTCTCATGTCTTTTTTTTTTTAAAATCACTTCCAAATAACTCTGACAAGGCCACAACTCCAAATAAATACGTAGTAACTTAAAACAAAATAAAATAAAATTCTATAACTTCCTTTTAAATATATAGTCAAAACATCGCTCTCTTTTTACCAAGTAACGCTCCCATTTTATTTTGAGTGGACCTATTTACCCTTCTTATAAAATATACCAATCTCCTTCCATCTTTCACTTTTTACTCCACTTTTTCATCACTATTCTGACAAAAACATTAACATTTACACACTTTTCTCTTCTAAAATCAATAAAATTCAAATTAGAAAAAAAAAAAACAAACTAGAACACATCCACACACCACTAGATCTTCACTAACAACCACTACTAATAATAATAATAATAATATCACGGAAAAAAGTTTAAACAGGCAAACGCCTAGAAATTATGGAACTTCGACGGGGAAACGCCTAGAATTTTCAGATCTTCTAAGGGGATATGTAAATTCCAGGCGTTTCCCCTTTGGACTTCCAAAATTTCCAAGCTTTTCTTAAGAAAATAATTTTAATATGAAAACATAAATTCACGGAAAAAAGTTTAAACAGGCATTTTGGAACTCAAAGGGGGAAACGGTGATCTGGAAATTCCAGGCATTTCCCCCTTGGAGTTCCAAAATTTCCAGGTGTTTCTTACTACGTACGCAACTTCAATGACGTACTATATTGCAGAATGTTTTTTAAAATATTTTGAATTACGACGTGTTTGTAATGGGGCGGTCAGGGAGGTACAATTGCATGTGGTAAAGTATATGGAAATTGAATAATGAAATTATAGTGACACGGGACCATATGAGACTATTTTATAAGGAGGGCAAGTTCATACATACTTGTCAAAAAGAGAGCATTACCTAGTAATAGGGGAGCGTGGTTTAGCGATCCACATAACTTCCACTTATACTAATTTTTTCCTAAACATACATATATCCCGTGTTGTTTTATATCAGGTGCTCAACTGATATTGAGCTTTTTTAAATTACTAAACAAAAAATCATTCCTAATTTTTATTTTATTTATTTATTTTGAAACGATTTATTTTAATTTATTAATTTATTAATTTATCCGATGCCGAAGTCAGTACGAGTGCAAAATGGAGAGAGAATTGCTATGCAAGAGTGTTTAATGCTTGAGGCGATATAAGTGAATGAATGTAAGTGAGGCAACATAGAGCATTTATACCTTGGTCTAATTGAATGGAGTGGGCTTGAGGAATCAGTTGGGCTGCCATCTGATTGGGCCCCGCTGACTTTGACTTGGCACATGTGTTAGAGGGTTGGACCTTGCCTATTGGGCTTTGTTTATTTTCATTTGTGGACTGGGCCCAAATACAAGTTATTTGGACCCCAAACAACTTGCCCCCCCAGACCCGATTCGTGAGGATAACGGGTCGGGTTTTCAGCTGTCGAGAGATTTGGAGGGAAATAAATGAAAATAATTTGAATTTCGTTTGAGAAATTTGTACGGTTTAATAATCGTTAATTTGCACTTAACTAACTTCAATGACAGTTAATTAAGAGTAATGGGGAAGTGGAAAGAAATTAATGGGAAGTTAATTTTGGTGGTTGCAATTAAGTGGGAAGAATTTTGAGTAGCCACGAATTGAAATAGTGCTTAGTGGGTGATTAATACCTCTTTAATTCCGGAAACTGGATCCCAGGACGTACTTAAGAGTGATTTGAACTCCCTTAATCTCCATTTCGCCACTTAAAATCCAATTGTCTCCCAAACTCGAGCAACGCCTTAACTTTTCTTTCGCTGTTTTCTTGCAATCCGAAGCCTTAAACTCAAAATCCGACTCTCCGAACTTGTAGATCGGCGAATTCCGAGTCTGAAGAAGGTAATTTTCTAGCAATTCGCTTCGGTTTTCTTTGCTTTTCGAAATATTTTTCCTTTTTCGCAATTTTCGAACCTCCGTCCAACTGAAAATGTCCGGCGACCGCGGAAAAGAGCCCATTAGGCCCGAGTCGAGTGCCGAGGAGGAAGAGGAGGAGGTGCCGCAGCTAATTCTGAGGCGGAATCGCCCTTTGGCGATGATGCCGCCTCTCAGCAGCCAAAACCCTAACGCTGGGGTCGCTCAGGCCGCTACTTCTAGTGGCGGCGGGTTAAGGGTAGTGCCTTTGTCCAGCTGTCCACCCAAGGATTCAGCTGAGGCCAGTACCTCTGGCCGAAGCGCGGCTTCGGCATCCAGGCCGTTGACTCCCGAAGAACGGGAGTGGACCTCGGTCCAGGATAACGAGGGCATTATGAGGGTTGCGCCCTATTCTTGGTGGATCGAGAACGACGCCTAGTACCACTTTGCCAAACAACTCGAGATATATTACGGCATCATGGAAGAGGATGGGTATTGGTGTAGAATGCCTATTGCCGATGACAGGATTCATCGGCCCCCACCTGGGTACATCGGGGTCTACACCCGACAATTGCAAAATGGGCTCCGATTTCCTATTCACTCTTTCGTAATCAAATTGCTGAATGGATACAACATATCCTTATCTCAGTTGACCCCATTGAGTGTCCGAAGAATCATGACCTATCTCTGGGTCAGTTTATTTTGTGGATTTGAACCGAGCGTTCACTGTTTTCGGTGCATCCACAAACTTGCGCCGAACACCCAATCTAGCCGATGGCACGGACTAGGGTGGTGGCAAATAGAAGATGAGAGGGGATTTCTCACATCTTATCCGAACGACACATCGGATAAAAATTGGAGAGGGTAGTGGATCTGGATTCGAGTACCCTCGGATGAAGCTCATCCGAATTATTTTGGGGCCCCCCGCTACCTGAGAAAACCAGACCCCGGAATGTCAAGCATCGGCCCTGATGAGTTCAATGAACTTGATCATCGCCAAATGGAGTTATTTGGCCGAAATAAAATGATTGTTACTGGCCGAATGGCCAACGTGCCGAGCACTTGGTTGCCCTGTTTTCATTACATCTTCCAGGAGAAGATGCTCGCTGTCGTCAGCCTTAGCCGAAGATACCAAGGCGTTAAGGGGAATTCGGTTAGGGACGAAGTCTTTTTATGCTCTTTTTTCTTCTCTCTTTTTTTTTTTTTTTTTTTTTTTTTTTTTTTTTTTTTTTTTTTTTTTTTACTTATGAACCTAACTTTTTCAGCTGAACTCATCTTCGTTTTCTCTAACTTTTCAGAGTTGTACGAAGCGAACTCGGGCATTGATTACAAAGTGCTCGGGATTAGCGACGAGAGGGAACCACTCACTTATATGCTGAAGATAACAGAGGTTAAAGATCAGCCACTTGCCCTCCAGCCGAGGAAACTTGAAATTGTCAGCGCCTTAGAGTATCAGAGTCAGAAGGCCTGGCATCAGAAGATTGACCCCCTCTTCCTCCACTTGGCTGAAGAAGTTGCTGTTGCTGAAGCCGCCTCAACTACGCAGACCGAAGCAGGGCCCTCTGCCTCAGCTGCTGAGGCCAGAAGAGAGGAAACAAATAAGGAAGAGGCCCACAACGACGAGTATCTGCTAGATACTTCGGTGAGTTTCCTAATGCACTTTCAATTTTCGAGAAATTGCTCTAAGTAAAGATCTTCGGCTACTTTACTTCATAAGAAATTCTACAGTTTTTCTGAGTGTGTAGCTTCAGCTTAAGTATGCATGTTATACCCAGATTTCTTAACTTGTAAGAATTTTCGCCGAGTATAAATCTTCGGATGCATGTCTCATTCTACTTGTTCAGCATGTTTAGGACTTGAACCATTGTAGAAACTCTATCAATCTTTTGTTGTGATTTGTCTGACTTGTGTAAATTTGCTAAGTATAAGGCTTCGGCTGTGAGACCTGTGTGTATACTTTATGTGTGTTTTTTTTTATTTTTTTTTATATTGGCTCACACATGTATCTGCCCCCTTCTATCTCTTCTGCTTCAGTCCGACGAAGAGGAAGTAGAGAGAGAGGATTTAGCCAAAGCCTTCCCTGTCCCCGAGCCTGCTCCTGAAGAACCGATGGCTGGAGGGAGAAGAAGACCCTTGGTTCGTCCTGGCCAGTTCAGGGCGCCTGAGATACCTGCTAAGAGACCTCGGCTTGAGGAGGTCCAGGAAGAGACGACCACAGAAGTCACTTCCCCGTCTCGGGAAGTTGTAGTTGAGGTGGTTGAGCTGCAAACTAGCTCTTCGCCTCCTCGCCATGTCGCCGAGCCATTTTTTGAGGAGGTTCGGCACGAGGCAGACGCGTTGAGTGTCCAGGTTGAAGATCCTGGACTTGCTGTTAATGAGAATGAGCCTCAGCTAGCTGAAGCTGAAGTGCTCAAGCCTAGGGATATCCCCTCCAGCTCAGCTGCGAACTCTTTCAAAACCTTTCAATCCGCTGAGATGGGTTTCGGCTTGGCGCCCATGGTTCCTATTCCAGCACATGCCCGAGCAGTTTTTGAGGATAGACATGACTCAGCTCTCACTTATTTTGGAAATCTGAACAATCTCTCGACTTTGGACAGGGCCAGGGCTTGGATGTTGGGTGCTGCTACCGGAGCCACTGAATCTTTGGAGAAGGTGCCGAACCCTCTTATGGAGAATCAGAGGGTGTTGATGCAGGTAACCTTCCAACACTTACTATTTCGGTTTTTTTTTTTTTTTTTTTTTTTTTTTTTTTTTTTGTGAAACTTCTTCTAAGTGTTGGACTTCGGCTAGCTGCTAAGCTGCGATTGTTGTCTTTACAGGCTGTGCACAACCATTTCCTTACTGTGGAAATGTATGATGAGCTTAAGAGCAAAGCAGATAAAGCAGAAGTGGCTGAAGCCCGAGCTGAACTTGCTGGAGCTGAAGCAAGTTAGGGCCGAAGAGGAGGCATCTGGGCTGAGATGGACATGCAAGACATGAGCGCCAACTTCCTCTCAGTCTGCCAAAACCCGGAGAGGACCATTTTTCCTTGGCTGGAGGAGGGTCATGCCCTCATCCAGGAATACGGGGCCGAAAGCATTGTTGAATTCAAGGTCCGGATCGAGACGAAGCTAAAAGAGGATGCTGAGCCTCGGCGGCTCCTAATGTCTGACCACGAGAGCCAGCTTGCTCAGGTTCGGGAAGAGGCTGAGAAGAAGTAGAGTGACTTGGCCGCTGCCAATCAAAAGCTGAAGGAAGCTCTGAAGGCTCAGAAGTCTGAGCTTGAGGATGCGAAGGAACTTCTCAAGACCCGCATTTACACAGAAGAAGAACTTCTGAAGCATAGGAATTCGGGCAGCTGTCCTCTGAGTCTTGTGGATCGAATTGCGCTTAAATTGATGATCTCCGTTTCTGCTTTTGCTTGTCTTTTGCTTCAGTCTACCTTGTACAAACTTTATAATCTTGTTTTTGTGTACTTTCGGCAGTTGTGTTTTCCGCTTTGTGGGCGGCTGCCGACTTTGAATTTTTGTAGCTCTAACTTTTCTGAATGGATGGAATAGAATTTCAGCTCTTTCTTCTCATTTTTCCCGTCTAAGTAGCTTTTGAATCTAGTTGCTTTTCCTTGAATTTCTTCAAAATTTGGCTAAGTACAAAGCTTCGGCTTGGAAATATTTAGCTGAAAATTTTTCTTATTCCTTTATGCCTTGCCCATTTTACTCGGATTTTGCTTGAAATTTCCCGAGTATTGAGCTTCAGCTTGGAGCTTGATATGTGAGTACCTCTTACCCCCCTAGAACTTCGAAGATAAAGTCTTCAGAGTTCTGAGTTTATTGCTTTCGTTCTTTCAGCGTAGCCGAACGTTTGGGCTTAGCATAAATTTTTGCAACTTAATAGTTTGAACATTTATATTTGTTTCTTATATTCTGCCTGGTTTTAATTCATCCGAGGGAACGACTATCTTGGACACATTGCCAGGGCAAAGATCATCCTAAGCACAAGGCATCATTATGCAGTATTTCTGAGGTGTAATCATCACCCGGAATTGACTCGCCGAAGCACTGGGCATCATTATGCAATGCTTCAGGCCCTTTATCAATTCCTATTTTTGGTTATGTCTTTGACGAGCCTATGGCCTCTTTGCCGAGACCAACAGATCCATCCGAGGTACAGTGCATCATTATGCAATACCTCGAGGTTCTATTTGTTACCCCCATATCGGCAGGTTCTTCAGCTTGCCGGAGTATAGTGCATCACTATGCAATACTTCGGACAGCACCGGGTGTAAACCTTGAATTTTTCAAAAACGATGAAGACAGAAATAATGAAGACATAACAAAAACTTGAACTAATGGCGGCTCAAAGGCCTTTCATTGATTTGAAGAAAACGTAGTTACATAGATTTTTCTCTCACATTGGGCTTTTACACATGAAATTTCCTAAGTACATCAGCATTCCAGTGGTTTTTCAATTCGGTTCCATTTAACTGCCGAAGTCGATAAGTTCCTGGCTGGAGCTCATCAAATATTTCATAAGGCCCTTCCCAATTAGCCGAGAGTTTTCCATGGATGCGACTTTTCTGGACAACAGCAGCATTCGGAAGAACAAGGTCCCCAACTTTAAGGAGCCTCGCTTGGACTCTTCGGTTATAAAACTTGCTGATTCTTTGTTTGTATGCTGCCATTCTGTCTCTTGCCGAATCTTGGACTTCGTCTAGGAAATCAAGAGACTCTTTCATGAGATGTTCATTCTCTTCGGTTGAGAACTAGTTGACTCGAAGACTTTCTGAACCGATTTCCACTGGTAAAACAGCTTCGGATCCATACACCAATTCAAAGGGTGAACGCCCCGTTGCCTCTTTCTCGGTTGTCCGAAGCAACCACAGAGTTCCAGGAAGTTCCTCTACCCACTTGGACTTTTGGTCTTCAACTCTCTTTTTGAGAGCGTTGAGTATTTGTTTATTCGCGGCTTCATCTTGGCCAATACTTTGAGGATGACAGACTGCCAAATATGCCAGCTTAATGCCGAACTGATCCGTGTACCGCTTCGGCGGCAGGTTGTCGAATTGTCTTCCATGATCAAAGACAAAAACCTTCGGAATACCGAAGCGAGTGATGATATTCTGCCAGATAAATTTCCTGACAGTTTGCTCAGTTACGTTTGAAGCTGCTTCGGCCTCAATCCATTTGCTGAAATAGTCAATGCCGACTATTAGCCACTTTTTCTGGTAAGGAGCTTCAGGAAAGGGTCCCAAGATATCCAATCCCCATTGAGCAAAGGGAAGAGGAGCTAGGATTGGCTGAAGGTCTCGCGACGGCCAATGGATGACTGGTGCGAATTTTTGGCATTTTTCACACCAGCTCCTTGGCGTCCAAAATCATGGTTGGCCAATAGTATCCCGCCCTTAATTCTTTGTGGGCCAAGGTCCTTCCCCCGATGTGGTTTCCACAGATGCCGAAGTGAATCTCCTGAAAGATATAATCTGCATCTGTTGGACCCACACACTTCAGCAGTGGGGCTGAGAAGGATTTTTTCAAGAGTTCCCCGTTATAGACGATGAACCTTGATCCGATTCCTTTCAGTTTCACGGCCAAGACTCTGTCTTCGGGAAGTTCTCCCTGAAGTTTATAAGCGAGGATGGTATCCATCCAGCTCGGTTCGATCCCAACACATAAGACCTCAGCTTCTTGGTCGATGCTTCTGTTTCGGCGCACTTCCACATATACAGATAGGTTCAACTCTGTGAGAGATGAACTTGCAAGTTTGGAGAGTGCATCGGCTTGAGTATTTTGACCCCTTGGGATTAGCTCAATTTCAAAAGTTCTCAGCTTTGCCATAACTTTTTTGATTTTGGCGAGATAGGAGATCATGGAGGGTTCCTTAGCCTCATATTCACCTCGGATCTGATTGGCGACTAGCTGAGAGTCTGTCTTCAAACAGACATGTTCAGCTTCGAGGGCTATGCACAACTCTAAGCCAGAAATTGCTGCTTCATATTCGGCTTCGTTGTTAGAGGCCTTGAATGAGAATTTTAGTGCATACTCGAAGTTTTTGCCTTCGAGAGAGGTGATCACTACCCCTGCCCCCGAACCATTCACGGTGGCTGAGCCGTCCGTGAAAACAGTCCAGATCTTCTTTCCCTCATCGAGTGTTTCCTGATAGGAACATTCGCCTAGGAAATCTGCTAAGGCTTGGGCCTTAATGGCTGCCCTCAACTGATAGCTTATGCTGAACTCAGTGAGCTCGAAGGCCCACTTTGTTAGTCTGCCTGACTTTTCAACCTTGCCGAGGACTTTTTCCAGCGGTTGATCTGTCAAGACCACTATCTGATGTGAGTCAAAATCAGGCCTTAACTTCCGAGCTGCCACCACCACTGCATATGCAACTTTTTCGAGTAAGGGGTAGCGCGTTTCGGCGTCAGTCAAAGTATGACTGACGAAGTAGATTGGTTGCTGAACCTTTTCTTCTTCTCTCAGCAGCACCACACTCACTGTGGCAGGGCTAACTGCCACGTATAAGTACAAGACTTCTTCTTCGGCTGGTCTTGCCAGCGTTGGGAGATTAGCCAGGGGCTCTCGGAGCTGCTGGAAGGCTTCTTTTGCTCTTCTGCCCATATGAGCTCTTTAGATTTTGGAAGTTTGAGCGCTTTGAAGAAGGGCAACCCTTTTTCCAAGGCTTTTGAGATGAACCTAGACATGGCAGCCATCCTCATAGTGAGACGCTAACGTCCCTCTTTGTTTTCGGCTCGGAAAGGTCGAGAGCTGCTTGAACTTTGGCGGGATTGGCATCGATCCCCCTTTTGCTGACCATGAAGCCGAGGAATTTTCCTAACTTCACACCAAAGACACATTTCTTCGGATTCAGCTTCATTTGATGCTTTCTAAGAGTGGCGAACGTTTCGGCTAGGTCCGCAACATGGTCTTTTTCTTCTTTGCTTTTGACGATGGAATCGTCAACATAGACTTCCATGTTACGACCCGTTTTTTCGGCAAACACTTGGTCCACCAACCTCTGATATGTCGCTCCGGCATTTTTCAAGCCGAAGGGCATCATCTTATAGTTATACACCCGGCACTTGTAACGAATGCCGTTTTTGTTCTGTCATCGGGGTGCATGAAGATCTGATGGTACCCAGAAAATGCGTCCATGAAACTAAGCAAAGCATGGCCACTTGTCGAGTCAACTAACTGATCGATTCTCAGCAAGGGATAGAAGTCCTTCGGACAGGCACTATTTAGGTCCGTGAAGTCAACGCACATTCTTTAGGTGCCATTAGCTTTCTGAACCATCACCACATTCGCCAGCCATTCGAGATATTGGCAAGGCTCGATGAACCCTACGTCAAGAAGTTTTTTTACTTCGGCCGCGATGTCTTGGTTCTTTTGAGCGGAATAATTCCGCTTCTTTTGCTTAACTGGCCGACATGTTGGGTCGACATTAAGCTTGTGAGAGATAAGGTTCGGATCAATCCCTGGCATGTCAGATGCTGAGAATGCACATCTCGGTTGTTCCGAAGGAGTTGGATTAACTCAACCCGGAGACTCGGATCGAGCCCTAGTCCGATGCTGACACATTTTTCGGTATCTCCTTCGGTCAACGGTATTGATTCAGTTTTTTCATCTGACTCCATTGCTTTGGAGCCAGGCTCTTCTGGTTCGGGCCTACTGTCAATATCAGCAGACCTTCCTTGCTTCGGCTGATCTTCTTCCGAGTCTTTCGGCCCAGCTGAAGAACTAGCCTTTCCAGTCCCCAAAGATGTTCTTTTAGATGGGGATCCCTGGGCTGAAGCACTTAGGCCCTTCGGCCTTTTGGTACCTCGCTCTTTTTCTTTCTCTTTTTCTTTCTCATCATCCTTGTCATTGCGGCGACTCTTGGATGGTTTGAGGAAATTGCATTCTCGGGCCTCTCTTTGGCTGCCCAAGATTTTTTCAGAGCGTCCTTCGTCTGAAACGTAGGTCATTGCTTGATGATACGTCGAGAAAACTCCTTGAACATCATGGATGAGGGGTCTCCCCATAATGACGTTGTACACTGATGGGGCGTCAATGACCAAGAATTCGGCCATGATGCTTCGCCTTGCTCGTTCTTGGCCGAGGCTGACGGGAAGAAGAATTTTCCCATCTGGATATGAAGAAGAACCGTTGAATCCAGTTACCGGGTAGGGAACTAGAGTTAGGTGCCTGCTCTCCAACTTCAGCTGGTCGAATGCCTTTCGGAAAAGTATATTCGCCCCGCTGCCACCGTCTACCAGTGTCCGATAGACGTTGTGGTTTGCAATGCTCGTCATGATAACCAATGGGTCATCATGGGGGTATACCACCCCCCTGCAGTCTTCGGATGTGAACATCATGTTCGGCACCGGAGACCGCGGCTTTTGGAATTCGGCATGATGAATCTGATGGGTCAGCCCCCTCAGATGGCGCTTCAGTGCATTACGAGAAATACCCCCAGAAATGGTTAGGATGTCATGATTTCCCCCCTCGGGAGGTTTATCCCTTTTCCGGTGGTAATCCAGATCCTGCCGAGAATCTCTCTCAGCTTTCTTTTCTTCGCGGCACTCCGCTACATATTTCTTTAAATACCCTTTCTGGACTAGCTCTTCAATCTGGTCCTTCAGCTGAAGGCAATCCTCGGTGCGATGTCCACGGGATTTGTGGAACTCGCACCAATGATCCTTCCCTTTCTTCTGATGCCAAGGAGGCGGCTTTGGTTTCTTGAATCTTCCTTCTTCTCTCGTCGCACTAAAGATCTTAGTACGTGGTAAGGTGAGAGGGGTGTAAGATTCAAATTTTCCCAGATAGGGAGCCTTGTCCTTTTTCGGCTCAGTGGCCGAGGGAGGTTCTGAGATTTTCGCCTTCCCTTTCCTCGACCCTGGAACTTCGGCTGGATGCCCATTTGGCTTGGCAAGCCCTGATTGAGATTGCAGCTTGGCCTTGTTCCATTCCTCGGCTCGGATGAATTTATCCGAAGCATCGAGGGTTTCTTCCAAGGTCTGCGGGGGATGCATGACCATGAAATCCAGAAACTTTTCAGCTTGTAGGTCGTTCCGTAGTGCAAATACGGCTAGGCTTTGGTCCAGACTTGTGATTCTGGACGACTCGTTGCTGAAGCGAGTCAAGTAATCTCGGAGACTTTCGTCTTCCGCTTGCTGCAGGCCCATAAGCTCTGCAGTGGTTTTCTCTCGGCGGTTAGCCGTGGAAAATTTGCTCTTGAACTTGTTGGCGAGATGACTCCGACCTGTTATAGAGCCTTCCTTCAACCCTTTGGTGATCCACGACTGTGCAACACCTTTAAGGGTTGTGGGGAAGTATTTGCACCAGGTAGCTTTGGACCTGAGGTTAAGGTACATATGCCCCTCGTAAGAGGCTATGTGGTCCTTCGGATCCGAAGTACCATCGTAAGTGATGTGTGCCGGAATTTTGACCGTCGACACATGTTCTTCCAGTATCCACCTCTGGAAAGGTGAACTGGTAGGAACCATCACAGCTTTTCCCTTCTGTCTTTCCGAAGGAACCTCACTCTTCCCTCTCGGAGAGGTGGAAGTGAGGTGTCCCTCCGCGTGACAGTTCTGGGTGAGAGCCTTCGGGATAGGTGAGACGACTGTGATTGTCCTTCTCCCTTTCCCCTAGGCGCTCGTAAACGCTTCGGCGAGAAGCGTTGTGGCTGCTTGGGGCGTCCTTTGAGTTTCGGACATGGGAATTTTTAAAGTATCCGGAGTCCCCTCGTCGTTCCCATCCTGTCTTGCCCAGGCTTTCAGCCCTTCCGCTTCCCTCTCCCTTGGAGAGTGGAAACCGCCCTTCCGCTCCCGAGGTCAGTTTCCTTTTCCGGCTTCGGCGGGGGTGAAGGAGTAGTAGTATGCACGGATGGGAGGCGTCCACCCAGGGCTTTCATGAACTCCATGCAGACAGCCACTACCCTTGCCACCTCTTCAGTCGAAGGAACAGTGGGAGGAGTTGAATGTATGCTTTGCGAAGGGCTATCCTTATGAGCATCGCTCTTTCTCGGCGAGTTCCCAGCTTGGTGAACCCGTCGGGAGGGAGATCCCTCGCGCAGATTTTTTCTTCTCGGAGAGTTAGAGGCAGATGGCTCAGGCGACGGTGAGGGTGTCCCACCGGTTCTCACCGTGATTAGGCCCATCTTTTTTGCTTTTTTGGAGTTTTTGCCACTCTTAGTCATTTTTTGCGTTGGCTTAGATTGGTATGAGATTTTTGGCTGAATTTTTGTAAGTGTCCCCACAGACGGCGCCAAATTGTTTCGGTAAAAACAATGGGACCTTCGGCAGGTCCTTCGAATGAGTGGAGACGAGGCCCAATTCGAGTGATGACCGAATTGGGGATTTCCTGCACAGCTAAACAAACGTAAATTGGCCCCGGAGGTTGTGTCGAGGAAGGCCCCTCCGATGTCGAAGTCAGTACGAGTGCAAAATGGAGAGAGAATTGCTATGCAAGAGTGTTTGTTGCTTGAGGCGATATAAGAGAATGAATGTAAGTGAGGCAAAATGAGAGTATTTATACCTTGCTCCAATTGAATGGAGTGGGCTTGAGGAATCAGTTGGGCTGCCATCTGATTGGGCCCCGCTGACTTTGACTTGGCATATGTGTTAGAGGGTTGGACCTTGCTTATTGGGCTTTGTTTATTTTCATTTGTGGACTGGACCCAAATACAAGTTATTTGTACCCCAAACACTTTCTTCTAAATTTTAAATTTTTATTTTTATTTTTATTTTGACTTGATCACGTTAATTAAATATTTAAAATCAGGCTTTGAGGATATGGAGGATTTAAATGTTATGCCTTTGTTGTCTTACATTGGTGAGTCGAATCGCCTTCAACGAAGGTACGATCAAGTCGATGGCAATGAAATCGAACTACTTGATGAGAATACTCTTAGTGGCAAATACATTCTTTTGTGTTGTTTTCACTTGCCTGTTGCTCACGGCTTCGACAACTAAGACCACATTGTTACAGTCTGTCCACAAGATCTGATAACTGCGTGTCATGATGTGTTTTTCGTACGAGAAGATTTTGAGATGGTGGTCGTGATCAAGCCGAATGAACTGGACAATTACCATCAAGAAGATAGTTTTTATGGTTTAACGAGGCGTCTACCCGGTTTGAGTCTTGTAGTACCATTCAATGACTCAGTCGTGACTTTGTTTGTGAGTACCTTAATATGGATATGGATGAGCCTGGCTTAAAATGTGTTCTTGTGAATGTTGAGAAAAAGATTGTATGCCAAGGACAAATTGATTCCATGTCGAATTTGATTGAGTGTCTGCAGGGCCTGTATCGAGAATGTTCTTTTGATTTACCGCGGTGTTATGGAAGGCTTGTGAAGTCGATGTGGCCTGTGGTAAGGGAAGAGCAGAATAAACCTCGTTGGGGAAGAAAATGTCCTATTGCTAGAAAATTTAAAGTTCTGAAAATGTCCTATTGCTAGAAAATTTAAAGTTCAGGAACCGGAATATACTGATGAAATTAATAACATGGTGTTGGAATCACAGAAGTCATGTGCTATTGAGATTGGTAACTCTATTAATGTTGTATCGTTGTTGTCTGGTGAGGGTGAGATGAATTACCTTGTTCGAAATGATGGTGAGCGAGTTGAGGTTGGAGGGAAGGTGTTTAGTGAAAAATATGTTATGGTTTGTTGTTTTTATGTGCCTGTCTTCATGAAGATGTATATTCAAGGCGTATACAAAGTCTAGCAAATATATGTTACGAGTTGTATTCCACAAGAACTGATGTTGAGATGGTAGTGGTTGTGAAGATGAACAAATTGGCGAATCATGAGTTGGTATTCAATCACTTTTTGACGGGTTTTCCCTCTTCTTGTCTTGTAGTACCGTTGAAGGACTCAAAGCGTCGTAACTTTATATGTAAGTACCTTGGCCTTGGCCTTGGCCTTGGCTTTGACCCTGAGAGTTATCGTTGTATGAGTGTTCGATGTCTCGTTTTGGATAATGATGTAGATATTAAGAGAAACATTTTAGTGTGTGGATCTCCTGACAACTGGTGGGATCAAAGAGCCGATGCCTTTCCTTTTACTGATAAGAAACTGCAGGAAATCGGAGCAAACAAATACGAGTACCCAAGATGGAAAGCTCCCTCTACGACAACACTTGAGGGGCTTTTAGGGTGCAGTCCTGATGATGTTGTTTATAAGATTAATTCAGCAGGTGTCCGTGAGCAGGAGATTACTGTCTCGGAACTCAGGGAGAAGGTAGTTGGCTTATACTTGTTGAACGGTTGGGAAAATTTTACTCCGAGACTCCATGAGGTGTATGAGCAATGCAGGACTCAAAATCTGGCATTTGAGATTGTGCTCGTTTACATTCCCTTTGATGACTGTCTTGACCCTGAGGCCTACAAGGCGAATGTAGATAGTATGTTGCAGAAGCAGAACATATCTACCAATTGGTGGAGATTGCCCTTTAATAATTCAGTAAGCCGGAGGCTTCATGAACTCACTACCTACGGCTGTCACTATGGCTCTTGCTCTCAACAGCTCATCATTGTCGGACCCCATGATGAATATGTGGAACCGTATGGAGCAGAGGTCATGTACAGGTTTGGGATAGATGGATTTTCCTTCAGTAGAGAATGCCTTATCGAAAGTGGACTGAAGAAGCTTAGGGAACTCACCTTAGAGTCATTGTTGGTGTATGGTTCACAGGATTATGTTATTCGAGGAGATGACAAGATTGCTGTGTCTCAACTCCAAGGCAGGATACATAATTCTGTACCTTGATCACCTTGGGGAAGACCTTAGCCTTTACGATGAATTATTAAATTGGTATGATGAGATTAAGGCAAAGCATCCTAGTTTTGAAGTGGTATTTGTTCGTCTTGAGAGTAGTTCCATCAGTAATACTGAAATGGAAGATGAATCTGTACTGTCTGCAATAATGCCTTGGTTGATATGCCCCTTTGACCCTGATCATTCAGCTTCCGTGGCGAAGAAAATATTCACTAAAGAACAAACATACAATACCCTTATTCAGTTTGGAGAAGATGGCCGGATTTGCACAACTCAAGCTCAACACCCTCTAAGAAAGCAAGGACCTGGTGATTTTCCTTTTGGTGATAATACGCAAGGAAGTCATTGATCAACTAAAAATGAGTGACAACTGTATGTGTTATGGTATCTAGTAACAAGTCTTGTTCTCTTTACTTCCGTTTTCTTGAGAACATATATAATAATCTTCAGCTGCTTGTAGCTTTGTACAATTTTATTTACTGTAATAGCTTCAATACTAGAAAATCGATCAATTTGTGTTGTTCTGCATCAGGGGTTTTGTCAGTTAAAATCAAAATGATCCGTTTCAAATTCTGCAATCAATTTAGTTTGATCTAGTAAAACTTCCTACTGATAAAAGCTGTGTTCCTGTATCAAATATCCAAGCATTATTATAAGAACCCGAACTCGATATCATCTCAAAGAATGCCTGAACCATGAGTCACATTTGCAGCCGTTCTAGCAGGTTAAAAGTAATCTGGTTCTGCCGTAGTTAGACTAGCACGCAGATCGCCATTGAGAAGCATATTTCAAGCTGTTGTCTGGGATTATCACCAAATTCCAAAAAATAAAGTATTGGGTTAAAAGGGTTCACTATTAATTTGGTAAGACAACCTAATTACATCTATGAAAACAGAGATTGAAGATAAACCAGTACGAAGTACAAAACAGTGAACCAAGATTAACAAGAAGATAATCTACAATTCCAAGGAGGCATGAACGAATTCCAGATCTCTTCATACAACATTGAATACTACGTATGATATAATCATCATGAATTTTGTGTCAACGTCTTTGTCAGAACTCTCATAAAAGAGTCTAGTTTCTACAATATGTATCATCAGTTAAATACTTGTAATTAAATTCTAAAGAATATTGGAGATACCGAGATAGATATAAAAACAACAATAAATACGGAGGAAGAAAACAGTGATTGGATTTTAAAAGAAATTATAAATTTTGAAATTTTTTAGTAAGAAACATTATTTTGATTGTCTTAACTCTTAAGCTAAGTTTCATATGTTAAAATTGTGCTGCAGATTTTTGGCTTTTGGTCTCACTTATCGATACCCAATGTTTGAAATTGGATATATATCCAATACATAACTCATGACAAGTCACACAACAACGTATTGGTGTTATTATTTTATTATATATTATAATTATAATTAGCTTCCAATTACATAGTATAGAGAATTTGGATCAATACTTTGAAATTTTCAATCATTTCGTAATTGAATATAATATGTTATCAATTGTTGTATGATCCCACGTTACATTATATTTGGTTCGAGCAATTTGGTATATTTGTTGTAGACCTGTAATTTTAAGAGAAAGCTTTCTTAAATGGCAATAATTAATTAATTAGACAGAAATTCTTGCGTGGACCTGTTCCACAATAATATTATTGTGGATATGAGATTTATATACACGCAGAACTAACGTTATTTGGAACATAGTGAC